TGGAACAGAAGGATGACATGGGCAAAACCACACTTGTCTGCTGACCTAAGACAAGTTGCTGGACCAGGTGGTTTGCAGATTTTGTGGTGTTCAGATATGAACTGTAGATTTAGCCAGTTTATAACAGTGTTATTTGTAGCAAGTGTTAAAGAATGCAGGATAAGAACATAAATTTTTATAATTAGTGGTTCCATGAAATAAGGTGTGTTGTCTGCGATCAGATGAGCAAACTCAGTTGCTGTCATCTTCTGATGTTGCACGTGGAGTTTTCAGGTTTGATTGTGAAGCTATGGTACTACATCTGATCCACAGATACAAAAATGTGAGGACTTTAGGAGACTTGTTTACATTTATTAATTGAAAAAAAAAAGAGAAAACATTTAGTTGGTCATATATATGAAAGGATGAAGTCAGATAATCTTCCCTTATAAAGCTGAGATGTCAAAGGAGATTTTTACTCCCGAGGCATTTGTGTTATACTTGCCTTGAAATGCGTTCCCTAACTCCCTTTCTGGAGACAGTACACATTGGCACACCTTTGGAGACATGCCTGTAGGAGCCGACCAGTTTGCTTGGCTGCCATTGCTCTCATCCTCTTGGATTACATGTGTGTTTCTTGGGAGAGGGGTCCTACATTTCCTTTCTTTTTATCAGGAGGTGTCCCAGCGGAGCTCTTAGCTTCAAGGTATTCAACCACTCCATACATCGCCATAGACACCACAAGCACGGACAATAAAATGTACAGTTTGATGTAAACTTGCAATTTGGTGCTATAACCAAAGGCAATGACAAATCCCAATGATTCCCAGAGACGGTAATTGGCAAAGGCGGCCTCCTTGTGTTTCTCAAATAAAATGCTGTAGAGTCCTAAAAGGAGAGAAACGACTTGTGAAGATTAAGTCTGAGACCATTTATTTTCTGTGAAGGGGATAAATAGACCACAGTGGGGAAGATAGACCCTTCTTCACAAATGTCAGAGAAAGGAAAATACAAGCTTTGTCCTGCAATATTTTTGCACTCCCATGGATTGTTATAAATTATAACAAAAATAAATATAAATTATAGCAAAAAATATAAAATAGAGAATATCAAGGGAAAGAAAATGGGAGGAAGGAAGAAAGTATGGGTTCTATTGAAGTGATATCGCAGGAAGGTTATTTTTCAAATTATCAGTCACAGAAGGGAAGGTTCTTGCACTGACAAGTAGGGAAGAAGAGGAAATGGCCAGGAATGACCCTTGACGGTGTAGAGTCTCCATGTATAGCTATTGGTAAGGTTATACCAAGTCCTTACAGGCTTTCAAAGAATGGGCAGTTTTGTCTGGGGACTACATGGTCCATAAGGACCAAGTTGGTCTGTCAGTGAGGGGTAGAAAGGATCAAAGAACCATAGGTACCTCCCTGCTGCCATCCTTCACTTTTGTGGGGAACCTGCATGGACTCTGCATGCACTGTCTACCTGTTCTTCAAACCATTTCTTTCACCTGCCTAAGAACATGCAGAGACTGTTCACGTAAAATGTACGTCCTTTGTTTTCACCAGAACTTGGCCTCAGGGAGCCCCCAGGTGAGGCTTGCACAGAGTTGCCAATGATAGCAACAAGTGCTGTTCATACTTGCTAAGTTACAACTAGGCTCATATTTAATATACAAAGGAGATTTGCAAGTTTTTAAGTTTTCACTCTTTGGATAGGCTGGCAAAAATAATATCCTTGATGCATACAGAACCTTTGGGCAGCAACTGGAAACCTTGCTTGACATAAAGACTTAGTTGATCTGATCATCCTAACGCAAGTTGTGTTCACTGGGAAGTTCCCCCTGAGTTCAGTCGGCTGCACACCCACAAACTGGGAGTCAGGGAGGGTATCCCAGCCTCCAGGTCTGACTGGCTGGGGACACAGGGAAGAGGAGAGAGCTTGCTTTCCTTTGGGTCCTGAGCTAGCATCAATGGTGAGAAAGCAGAGGGAATTTCCACTGACTCAGCTGTGATGTACAGAGAGGGAAGGGGAGGAATATAATGAACCTTGACTCTTCTCACCCACTTCTCTAACAACACATCTGTTTGAAATGTGTATGTTCAGCCAAAAGGCAAAGAGGAGTACAAAGCTGTCTAGAAGTCTGGGTAGGCTCAGCTAACTTTAATTTTGTAAAGTAAGGGGCGATATCATCTGTATGTAAAAATTCACTGCTTCCTGATGACTGTAATGACATTTACTGAATGATTCAATTTAGACATGATGGAAAACTGGACAAGTCCATTACAAGATGAACTTAGTTCATTAAACTGCCTTAGTGTAGCATAATGTGAATTATTTGATAGTCCTTCAGAGTTTTGCCTAACAAATGAACAAGTAAAGCTGTTTATATAACTTTGCTGACATGCCCTGTGTTATCTTCTGGAAAGTGATTAGTGAGAGGAGTTCAATATAGGAAGGTTTCTGATGTGTAAAGATTATAGCTTTCAGCTGGTACCTGTTTTCCTTTCTTATTTTGAAGCATTCTTTTTTGATCAAAACGATGGGAGAATTGAGTGAGGATCTAGTCCAAACTTCAGCTATAGGAAAGGCTGACTCGGCAGGAAAGTTCTTGTTTCCAGGATGCAAATGTAGTATAAACTAGCAGTTACATAGGAACACAATGGTGTTTTTTGCCTCGTACTTAAACATTTGTCCTCATTGCTGTTGAGTGCAGTGTGATGCAAGTTGCCTGGCTGAAGCTTTAGCCAGTGCTGACTGGGTGGAGAGGTTGCTAGCTCTAAATTCTTGCAGCTTACTTCCATGGTAATTATCGTCCCTCTTTACTACTGCCTGTTTTCCTGCTCCTTCCCCTGGTACTAGTAAGCATGGGTGTATAACAGGACTGCTGGAAATAGTTTGAGTCCAGGTTTATAAACTTTCCAGACTGATTATTATCCTTTCTAAAGATGCATGTCAGCACGGAAAGAACTTTATTTTACTAGAATCTGTCCGATAGCTCTGTGCTACACATTTGTTATGGCCCAAGTGCAGTTATTGCCAGGGAGGTAATAATAGCGTCTGTGTTCAAGTTAGATGAGAGAGGGCACTGCACACTCTGAAATGAAGCAGCTTTCACTGGAAATAAATGAGGGTGTCCATGTGCTAACCCAAACATGTTAGGGAGCCTTTGTAAAACGAAGTGACTCGTCTACTGTGAGCCTCTAGGGGGAACTCCAGTATTGCCTATCACGGCCGGCCAAGATGAGCCTTCTGCCAGGACCATAGGGCACAATGCAACTGTATTTATTCAGTGGTTAATCTACTGAGGCCCAAGCGGCAGTCATGGAAGTTTGCCTAAGGAAGGACTGTGGACTTCAGTCCCCAGTGCTGTTTTAGAGATATCTCACCTCTTAGCCTTTGGAGCTGGGAATTTCTTTTGTGATGTATATTTGTATAAAACTGATGAAGAGAAGAAGATATTTAGTCCTAAATGAGCATGTCAAACTGAAGATCCTGCTCTGGGTTGTAGCAGTATGGAGCAATGACACTGCACCTCTCTGTTAAGGTTTCATGTCATCACCTGATGTTTCAGTGACAAAGCAAACTCTATAATTTTATGACTTGAAGCTATGGAACAGATGAAGAAGGTACAGACAAAAAAAAGATACTGTGCAAGCATAAGGAACATTTTTTTCCCAGTTAACACAAACAAAATTTTCACAAGTATCCTGCAGGAATCTGGGAATGGAGATGACCTGCTGCACTGTTGTAACAGAGGTCAGTCTTGTCACAGCACTGCAGACCTCTCTTGCTATCAAGTAAGCCCAAAACTTTGCCTATGCCTCATGCAGGGGTTGGGAACTGCAGCCGCATCCCAGCCTCCTTCTCTGACACTTAGGTTCTCTGTACTTATCCCTTTTCCTAATGAGGGTACCAGGTGGTTCTACATCAGGCATACAAGTGCCTTACTAAGGAGATATCTTTCTCAATGACAGGGACAAGTGACACTAACTGAAACATAGGAAGTTCCCTCTGAATATCAGGAGACACTTAATCTACTGCAAAGGTGACTGAACACTGGCACAGGTTGCCCAGAGAGGGTGTGGAGCCTCCCACCCTGGAGATATTCAAAATCTGACTGGGCATGGCCGTAGGTTACTGGCTTTGAGTGGTTCTACTTGAGCAGGGAGGTTGGGCTAGGTGACCTTCAGAGGTCCCTTTCAACCTCAACCCTGCTGTGATTCTGAAAGAAGCCAAGTGTCTGAGAACAAGGCTTTCTGGAAAAGAGAGAAGCAGGATAAAGGGCAGGTCCTTTATCCCAGTGAGAGATATGGCTAAGATATGGCTCTCAGGACTGTTGAGAAGGAGTCTGATGAACATTCAGGAAGGCTGTGGCCAGAGACGCAGGAAATGAATGAACAGCTTTACTTCAGAGAGAGCACATCTTCACTGATGTTGTCCTTCTGTGAACCTGAATAGTGGGAGCACTGATTTAAAATTATACCAAAGGCACAAGGCTGTGAGTTGGGATGAGAGAAGATGAGAGGGTGTCGCTTGATGTATATACTAGCTCTCCTTTAAGGCATATGAGCTGGAGCTGCTGGAGGGGCAGAGAAGTCTGGCTGGTCACTTACTTGTGTATAGAGAGGGGACTACACATGCTGGAAAGGAGATCGCTGTTAGTGGTGTTTTCCCTTTGGCTCTCCAGGAGGAACATGGCAATTTATATAGTGCATGTAATAATCTAAGCTACTGAAGCAACCAGGGGGACCAGAGGGGGGGGAAGCCAAGGCACATAACCTGATGTGGGTCAATATGAGCTAGTTCTGTAATACGCATATGCAGATGTCATCTGCCAAATATGGATTTGAGATAGAGGAAAACAATATTCATGAAATAAGAGGCAAAATATGGGAGCAGATGGGAAAGCATGTAACTGTCTCGCTGATACAGGCTATGACATCGATTTAAAAAGAGTGTGACTGACAGTGATTAGCAGACTTTACTTCAAGTCATCACAGACTATATCTCTTTCTTGCCCTCTCCAGCACTTGAGTCTGTCTTTAGTCTCTGCAAGAGAACTTCCTCTAGTTTTGATTGAGGGATAAATTTAAATAATCACTTAAGGAAGTTGGTTTGTATCAGCTCATTATCTGAATTGTCAGTACCTAATAATTGCACTGTATCACAAAGCAGTAGAATATAAAAAATTATAAAAACAACCATAATGCATCAAATAAGAAGTGCAGTGGTACACTTGCAGTAACAGACTCCTAGGATAAGAGTGTAAGAAATGGGGCAAGTATACAGTGATCTTTCCCCTCCAATGTCCTCCTGACTCTGGCAATCAAAGACATAGTGACTTCTCAGTTCAAGATTTCCTCTAGGCCACCAGGCTTTAATAGTCCCCAAGAACATTTTCCCATGAAGCTATGTAATTCCAGCTTAAAAACATTTACATTTTTGACAATGAGTTCCATACATTGATTATGCATTGTGTGAAAAAAAGCAGTTCTTTTGATTTCTATAAAGCCTGCTGCCTGATAACTTTAGAACAAGGTGCCACTACTTCTGTTACTAAGAGAAACAGTGAATTTCTAATCAGCTTTTCCATACTATTAATGATCTTACTGACTGCTTACCTTACTTATCTCTTGTCCAGTCTAAAGTGTTCTAGTTTGTTAGTCTTCCTTCAAGTGGAAGTCTCCCATGACTCTGCTCCTTTTTATTGCCTTCTTATACCTTATCACATTTGATTGTGATTTTTGAAATGGAGCAAATTTGAACTGCATGGATTTACTTGGTTGCGTAACGTTGCTCTCTGTGGTTTTCTCCTTCAATTTTTTTCTAATAAATCCTAACAGCCGATTTGCTTCTTCTTTTGTTGCTGAGCTTTGAGTTGATTTTTGTATCCAGAGGGCTCTTTATTGCAAAAGACAGACTAAATGTATCATTCTTCTGAATTTTCTAATTATCTTTGAAATACTTATACTCCTCCAGAATATTTATTCTGAATATCTGTTATCTTCTTCTACAGTGTTCTTCTCTCTTAATCTTGGAGAAATTTGTTTAATGAATATTTTACTTTCTTATTCCCAACTTGTTCGTACTTCTTTGACTTTCCAATGAGCTAACATATTTAGTTTAGAAGCTGCCTTAAACCCATTATCATTTTTATGCACGTGTTGTTTTATAAATACAAACATGCAGATTTTTCTATCTCAAGAGAATTAATTTCATTGTCACCAGGACTTACCATTAGTTTGTGTCTGCCAAATGGCATCAGATAGGCCCCAAAGTGCAGGGAATACAAAAAACACAGCAAGCTGCTTAGGATGAGGTTTCCAGAGCAGTAGTGCTATTATACAGGCGGTGTTTGTAACTGTGGCTGTTGATTTAAAAAGAAAGAAGAGAAATATATTTGCTATTACAAGAAGGACAGATAGTAGGAGATAACACTTTCAAATTCTTCCCCCAACTAGAGCATAACGGAGTCTTAAAATCTTCCTGATTCACTGAGGTTTGCACTGACTGAGTTGAAGGGGGAGGATCAACCCTTCTGCTCTCCTTGCCTAGTCCTTAAACACTGGTTTCCCTTCAAGGAAAAGATCTTCTAGAAGGTCTGGTGACTTTTTGTCTTTCTTTTTAAAAGCAGAATGTAAATGAGTCACTGATTCTTCTCTTCACAGGAACATCTTTATAGACTGAGTACAAAGACCATTAAGCAGAACTGAAAGGTTCAGAGGTCTTGCATTACTAATGCTATAGGGGTTTTTTATTATTATTAATGGTTTCCTTTTTAAATCCAAAATTATTTTCATAGAGTGAGACATACACCTAGGACAGACATGTACAGCTGAATCTCTGAACTAGTGACTATAGCATAAAAAACTCTCCTTTTTTTTTTTCTCTTTGCTCAGGTTTAAAAAGGAAGGAAGGAAATCCCTAGAATGTCTAGCTGCACATTGACTCAGTCAGTGATGTTTCAAATAATGCAGATTATTGTGTAGTGGAAGTAAGGTATCAGTACACTTCAGTATGAATACCTTAGTGGATATAGGGACACAGATTAAGTATTTATTGGTATTTTTCTGCCTCCATTACTCTATTACTCATTGGAACAGTGAGAAGATGTTCATAAATATACAAAACTTTTCTCATCCCAACCTGAAAATTACTGACCCATACAGAGGCCCTCCAGTTATTCTGGCCTGACACACTGGCATAGGACTCTTTCTTTTATTTTTCTCCCTGTAGAGCAAGTAGTGAAAAGGACATCAGGCCAACCTTTAAAAATTTTCCTGAAATTCCTAGACTGGTTGCTTAAATCCAGGTTCACCATCCCCTGAGACTCAAATCAATAGTGTATCTCATGAGGTTCGCAGTTGCTTTTACTCCATAAGGGCGAGGTGTTTTCACCCCAATGGAGAAATCTTTCTCAGGTGTAGTGTAGGCCTCAGCATCTGTGTTGTAAGATCATTTACCACTGGCTGTATTTTTACTGTGAAGCATCAAAGCTGTGGGGCACTTTATGAGCAGGCAGTGCCCTCAAAAGCAGAGTGAACTACACCACCAGCAAAGGGATGTTAAGTTAACTGTGATGCCTTTCTTCTCATGAATAAAGTTTGACTCCAGACTAACTTTGGTTTTAATTGATAGCTGACAGCGAGCTCTTCCTTTGTAGTGCATGCAAAGTGGGGAACACTGGATTTGATATATTACATGAGGAGAGCAGTCCCTCAAGTGACCTTTACATACCCAATGCAAATAGAAGTTTTCTACCCGTGAACTGAGAGATCTTTCCAAAGAGCAGAGAGCAGAGGGAATTTACAGCTGCAAAGCAGATCATCACGTAACCAACATAATGTATCCCCAGAGCACAGGTCACGTAAGCCTGGAACAGAAGAGACAGTGGTGACACGTTTTCTTCAGTGAAAATGTTCAGCTAAGGTTCAAGGGTCTTACCCTGAGTATTTGGTAAATAGCCAGCATGGATGAGATCAAAGGAGCACAGCTACAATTTGCTGACAAGTCCCTGGTATGTTGACATAGTTGGCCTTCAGCAGTGATATTTCTAACCCACTTCCCAATCAGACTGGTGCCATGCAAACAGAGCAGTAACAAGCAGGAGAAGAAACCAGAGCACTGCTCACTATGCAAATAAAACTCCTGGAAGTGGCACTGGGAATCTTCTGCCCTTCCCTTCTTAGCCCAAGAGATGAAAGTTGACAGTCACCACCGCAGTCATTACAGAGCAGCTCCCAAGAAGTGAAGAGGACCTCACCTATAAGAGTGTACAGTCAATGGAAATGGTAATGGAGTGAGTGCCCCTTTCAATCCATTCAAACACAACAGCAAATGCACTCTTCCATCTGCTTATTTGCAAGGTTTGAAAGCTTAAGTGTCAAATAAACAGCTCGGGAAGTTTGCCCCGTTTCTTTGGAGGCTTTTTCAACTAATGTCTGGAGAACACACCTGCTGTGGGTCTAGGTTCATAAAAGGACTGGAGAAGCAGAGGTGGTTTTGTCCATTGCAGTCCATCAGGATTTGGACCTGTTGCTCTAGTGACGGGGTGATGGCTTTCACCCAGCCATATTAAGAGTTTGCCCTCTTACCATAAAGGTTCTCAAAACAAAATATGTGGTAAGTGTGCTGACTTGCACTTATGCAAACTCAAGGGAAACCAGAAGGAAGGAAGATATAAAAGATTTGCAGACTTCTGGCTTGTCTCCCAGTTTGTTATTTACAACAAGCTGCAGAGTTTGAACCTGTAGCGCTCTGCTGTGGCCTCCACTGGTGAGTTAAGCTCTGCACTGTGTTCTTTTTAGGGCTGTTCCAAGGGACATATTTACTGCTGGCCTCTCCTGTTTGAAGATGTCATTCAGAGTTCATTCAAGTAGAAGTAAGCAGTAATTTAGCAAACCACAAATCGCCACTGAAAACATCTTCATTTAACAAGTAAATATTGATCAGACGCAATAGTAAGACACAAAGGCACAAAAAACAATAAGGCAGAAATAGAGTTTCATTGTTATCCACACCTTTGTGTAGTCACCAGAAAGAAATCCCTGTTCAAACCCACTGTACATTGTCAGAGGGATTAGAAGACACTGTCTTTTATCTTTAAGATGCTGGAAAGTTGCTAGGAACGTAGACCAAAAGGATGGTGCCTCTAGTATTTCTTTCTCAGTCTCTGCTTGGTCAGATTTGATCTGGTCCAGAAATATAATAATCAGCAACACAGCTAGCACACCACTAGCTGCAAAAAACAAAACAAAAAGTTCATGAAAAAATGAGGAATGCTGGAAGAATGATGGGAAGTCGCTTGCTGCTGTTATTGTTCTGACTTAGTGCTTAGCTCTCTGTGGGATATTTTGGCAGATGCCTCTGATTCCGCTGCAGTGTAAAGGCCATTTCTGTGTAAACAAGCAGGCCTGATCTACATTCACATCTTCTGCATACAGCTGTGCACCCTGCAAATCCCCTCAGCTTAACTGTGCCTGGCCTGTTGTGACAGCCACTGGGCCAGCTGCGCGGCCACAGAGGGTAATCGCTCACCCTTCCAGGGCAAGCTAGGGGTTGCGGGGACGGGGAGTTGGCCAGAAACAGCTCCCTCGGGAGCTATCAAAAGGCTTTAAATCAACACGAGAGAGGAATATTCACTTCCAGTGCCAAGGTTTTCATGGCTAGAGGGGGATCTTCCTTCAAATATATGGAAAGGAAAATAAAGGCCTAGAAGTAGAACTGCTGTCTTGAATCTCAGTATATGTTGCTCTTTTTTTTCTGGTCAGCTTGGAGCCATGCTTTGAGTACAGAATATGTGCTATTTTAGAGATGACAGTGAGCAACTCTGAGTGACCTGGAAAAGATGGAAATTACAGCTTTGAATCTATAATTTCCTAGCAGAAGCAGCATATGAAAGAATACATGGGGCAGTTAATCAGAAAAGTGATCGCGTATATATCAGTCTAGGTTTGTTGCTTGTGAAGTGAATCAATACAATTTTCTTCATGTTATCAAGAAGATAACCATGGCTCATAATACACATAAAGCAGCCAGAGATTCACAACTGATTGCTTTGTTGCAGATGCAAGGCATGATTATGTCTCCTCTCTTCCTTATGCTGACTAGAAATTCACCCATGGAAACAAGTGGAGTTCAGAGCGAGAGGAAAACCAGGCAACTTTTCCCATCCACGTTGTGTGTTTAATGTGCTCCTATGTTACAGTGTATGAGCATGCTCTTTTCTGTGAACTTTTAATGTCCAAATATATTAGCAGATTTACAGTAAATTGCCATTTATTTTTTTTTGCTTATTGTTTTGTATCTGTGTCTCCCAGAATGAAATGGTATCCTCCAGTGTCCTTGCTCTGCACTGTGGCTGTGTCGTAAACTCTTCATGACATAAGTCATTGCTGGTTCTGCCAGAGTGTTCATTAGTGCTTATGGGCTGATGGCAGGACTTATATGGGCAGGATAGCCACATTTACAGGACTAATATTCTAATGAATATGTCAAATGGATCAAAGCAATTATATGAGATAAGTAACTGCATGGCTTAGTAGTGGTTGGTATGAACATAAGTAGAAACATCCACAGTCCTCGAGAAAACTAAACAGCAAAAGACCTATCCATTATTGTCTCCACCCAAGCTGGGCAAAATATGTATTCAGCAACCAAATAGAGGAGACATTTTAAAAATGTCTGTGAATGAAATATTTAGCTATTTTGTTTCCCTCAAGGTAGGAAAAGACATATCCTTTATTAAGAGCTTAAAAGAAAAATGAAACCCTACTGACGAGGGGCCAGTAGACAGCAGGGTAGCATTCATTTTGCATGAGCAAAGCCTAAGGGAGTGCTGTATATGTTAGTCATCAAATTTAAATTTAAACTTAAACTTGTGAGCCAAACCTGCCTTTAGCAGAAAGGCATCAGCTCCAGCGCTCTCTGGAAGGGAAATGGGGGGATATTCTTTCCATTGTCTCACCAATTAGGAATGGAGGTTGGGTTGGAAGAAGGGAGGGTTTGCTGCGATGCACTTGTTCGGTGAGGGCTGACTCTGACTAGATCACATATTCTGTGTTTGAGTATATGGCACATTCTGTGTATCTGTCTCAGCACACAGAGTACATCTATGTGCAGAGACTGCAAAGATATTTTAACAGAGCTAAGGTGACGTGTTGCCTTGCCAGATACTTCCCCTTTATCCAGACAAGAACTCGTTTTGAGACAGATACTTTTTGAACTTTCCTCACTGAATGAATCTTTGCATATCTATTTTTGTCTTCCTAATGTTTGATGGCATCAGCCTTCCCTGTCTTTGATTCCTTTCTAGCCTTATGTAAGGAAGCTCTATAGCAGCTGCGGTTACTAAATGGGAGATATACCAATTTGTCTAGTGCTTCTCTTTATCTTCACCTTTCACGCTAAGGTATTCTCACAGCTGAGAATTGACTGAAGGTGTAAAATCTCAGCAGGGATCCAAAAACCTTTCCCCAAATGACTGCATGTTCTGGGAGCCGTGGTTCAGATCCACCTCTAATAACAGTGCAGTTCTTGTGCTAAAGCTGTTTTACACCTGGTAGGACACCAGCCAGTTCTGATAGGCGTCCCCCCTGATGACTAGAAGTTGGTGAGTTCAAGTAGCACAAACTGGGCTGCTCTTGGCGTCTTGGACCCCTACATGCATATATGTCTGCCAATGCCATCAGTTCACTATTGCTGATCTTGAAGATAGTGGATTTAAAACTCACCTATCTCACACATAACTGGATAAGCTACTGCAGTCCTCTAATTGGAATGTGGGCATACTTTCGATTCTAGTCTGCAGAGCAGCACTGACTTTGGGTGAAAGAGTGGGGTCACCTTACTGGGCTTTAGCTTTTTTCCAGGTGAAAAGTGCAAAGAATGTCTTGCTCCTTTAGACAAAAATTATACAGGATTGTCACAAAGCATTTGAAACTATTTAGGAAGGAGTTGTTTACAGCTCTCACATATCTAATTTCCTTTTAGCAAATTGAATCGAAGCAGAAAGCTGGAAACTTAATCTGCAGTCATTCTACATTTCACAAGTAGCAGGTTCCCCATCAGTGCTATTCATTAAAGATTGCGTGGATTACTTACCTGTGTAGATCCCTAGCAAAGTGTAGATTAAGGAGTTGGAGGGTTCTGCTGACCCAGTGGTGTTAGTGGTGTTAGTTGTACCAGTCATGCAGTCATGTGCTCCGCAACATGCCAGGTTTTCTTCTGAGATTTCCACTAATTCAGTAAGAACCAAAAGAAAGGCAGGACAGGGAAGAGATCAGATGAGTGGACACTATAAGGATGTAAGGAGAAGGGAATCCAGCACTTGGTGATTGGTCCTGGTTTCATATCCTTCCTGATTAGAGATGTTTAACTTCAGAATCCCAGTTTAACACACAAAAATTTAGTTTAACAGAAACAGTTGCTCGAGACAGAATGCTGAATTGATGGCTACATGAAATCATGGACTAAAGCCAGAGGCTGAAATCTGAATCAAAACTCATTTGCAGTATTTGACATTCCAGTGTGTGTCTGTACCTCCTAATCATAATAACCCAAATGACAGGTCACTCAATATACATCACCACTGAACTGATGGACCTCAGTTTTTACAGCCAGTGGACACTATCCCTCTCCAGGTTATTTCTGTATATGTTATAAGAAAGGAAACCACCTAGGACATATTTTTGTTTTATAAATTCAAATTACGATTACCCACTAATGCAGTCTTCGAAGAAATCAGCTTTTCCTGGCTTTATTACTTTATTACTGGCTTTATTACTCTTTGAGAACATACTTGAACAGTTTGGCAGGGTTTGGAGTAAGACCTTTGCTTTGTTCAATCCCATCAGCGTTGTGCTGGGCATGTGTCAAAGCCACACGTGTGTGTACTCACACACCCTCAGTGTCACCATGACATCGTGCCCTCTGCCTCCAGTAAAGAAAAAAATACTAACCCAAAATGTGAGACTGAATAAGCTGTGTAGTGGGGAAGGATGGTCAAAAACCATGCAATTATTTCAATGCTTTCACTGCAGAATTTGTCACTGGTCCAAGCATAATAAAGGGCAATACAGTGTACCTTGGCTGATTCCTTAAACAGGACTTGATCTGTAATTTTTCAATTAGAGTTATTCTGTAACTACTTTTAGTGTGTTTTTCCCTATTGCTTCCAATAAAAGCTGCTGTGATGTGAATCAGCTGTTTAACTAGCTTCATAAACAACTTTAGGTTCAACATCAGATAAAACTTAATATAAAGAAAATCATTACCTCATTATAGCCAGTGGCTACCACTGCACAGTTTTGAACAAACAGACCCTCAGCAAAACTACCATATGCAAAAGGTGAGTCACACAAGAAAAGTGTGGAAGCATGTAAAACAAGTTTTTTATCTGCTGTGCATCATCTGAAGATGAAGATGCATATATAATTAGTGATATGGAAGCTCCAAGGCAAGGTTTGCTCTGTTCTTCTGGAAATAAGGTTGCAGTATTGATGAGCGAGAAAGGGTGACTCTTGTAGTTTACACTGATGCCTGTCTTCTGTTGCAGTATTACCTCACGGTGTAGCTTGCTTTGCTGTGTCTGGATGCAGTGATGCAGGCAATATGTCAAGTGTACGTACATGTCTGAATTTTATGCACTTTCATTCTGCAGACACATAACATATCTTTCTGACGGCTCAGTGAAATTATACATTTTAAGTATATCTTTGCTGTACTGTCAGAGGAGAGGAAAAGAAGTAAGCGCCTGGAGACCCTTACCCCCCTGCAAGAAGCTCACTCTAGATTAAAGCTGAGTCTCACTGAGAAGACACAGCTGGGAAGCTGATAGTATGACTGCTCATCATTTTTGTGAAGATATGCAAGACCTTTGACTTTGAGAGCTGTTCGTCACAGCACACCACCCAGGAGGACAGCATTGTCTGAAATCCAATGTAACTGATAAAAAATAAGTGAAAATTAGAGTTTGTTTAGAACTTAGAGGAACTTCCTCAGACATAAAACTGTGAGAGGATTTACAAGATAAAGAGTATTTTAATCCTCTTATTAACATCACTTAACACGATGTGTGCTGTGAGACAGAGGAGAGTAAAATGTTTTCTGTCTGTGCAGACCCCACAGCTGCACTGCAGCCTCTGCCCTGCAAATGAAACCAGAAGAGCCATTCCCTCCTGAGATATTGTGTGGCTCAGTGATCAGGGCAGCAGCACTCGACGCAGTCCTTTAGTGTTCTGCTTTGAAGGTTTTTCATCTAGAGTTGCTTGAGTTTAAAGGAAGCATTATTCTCTGTAAGTATCACATCTTGTGACAACTAGCATGCAATAAACCCAAGGATTCAAAGATTAAAACCTGGTGCCAGCTCCCTGACATTTAGGCTTAACTGAATACCTATTTGAATACCCTCCAGAGGACATACTGTTTGACTGAGTCAGGGAAGAGAAGTAACTTCTTGCTGTTCATCGTAGCAGTGTATATGGAAAGCTCTTTCCATGTCCATCCAATTCTGACTTTGAGAGGATGGGGAACACACAGGAGACTGCAATGATAATACACTGTAGCACTTTGAATCTCCAAGGTGGTGTCCAAGTATTAACTTATCTTCACAACTGCCATTTTAAAGCTTACACCAATTACAAGCATAGGAAATGGGGGCAGCACTGTTGAGTGATTTCTTCAAGCTACATCGGCATCTCCTGTCTGAGCCTGAAATACAGCAGAGGAGCCCTGGCATGCAGACTCCTGCCATGGCCACTTCTATTTCTTCTTAACAATTCTGTAAAGCACTCATTTCCATCAAGCACCAGTGTCAGTTTGACTAACCTTGAATGCTTAACAGCAAATTAACTCAATAATATAAGCTTTACAAAAAGGCTGCCTCAGTGTTTTGCCTTTTGTTTTAATCCACTTTAAATAGAACCAGATGGGAAAGACTGTCACTGCCAGCAGCCTATCTACGCTTTACAACACAGGGGTGGAATTCAGGAGGAATTCAGTAGACATCTATTTTTGAGCAAGTTGTCTGAACTCTCTTTACAGCCGATGAAGAGTTGATAGAAAATAGACACTTCCAGAGAGCAATTTAGCCCATCTACTTCGGACATCTACCTTCAGATGAGCTAAGCCACACCTAAAGTGCATCCATTTCCACTGACTATGAAGGCGATTGATAGCTCAGCTACAAAAAACTACCTTTTAGCTATCCAGGACTAGCGGATGTTCATAGAGAGAAATACCAAGATTTTCAAATATATTTTACCTTTGTTGGAATCTTGGCTAAATATCAAGGACGAGATCAAATTTCCCCAGATGCCGGAGGACTGAAATATCAGAAAGAAGACCCCAAAGTACTGGCTGATGATGTCTTTCCCATTTTTTCCTGCTTTCTCTGCGTATGAATTGCCAGCAATGGTGAGGTAAGTGCATTTGGCAGACCAGAGTGGTGCTCCTCCTAAGCCCAGGATCACAGAGGTGGGGATTAGTGTGTACCTGCCAAAGAACACTTTATTTAGGGTAATTATCATCCATTAGCATAATAATCATTTGCCCAAAGATCCAGAGGGGAAAACAGATTTCTTCTTAGTGTGATTCAAGAAATCTACTACATGAAACCAAGAAAGGTTCCCAGTCTTAGGAAGTTTAGGATGTGCAAGCACTCACAGCTGTGTCCAGGCACTAGATCTGGGCTAGGCTGGCTAGGTCTGTGCTTGTGTGCCCTGTCCTCTTGTAACTGAGAGTTAAATTGCACCTGCGCTTCAGAAGATGGATCACAACTTTCCTCCACAGAGTTGTGTCCCCTGTCACTGGAAAGCAGAGGTAAATTGTTCATTCATCTCTGAAGGGGCAAGGCAGGAGCTGGCCTTCTCCTGTCGTCTTCTGCTTCCAGAGCCACTGGCTGGAAGACAGCCTTCCCTTGCAAGTCTTTTCAAAAACAGTCCTAAAAGTAATTTGGATTTTAAATGAAACTACTTTTTTCTTTTTTTTCTGAAGGGAAATCTCAGCTACACACATGAGTTGGAGAAGCAGCTTCAGGTGGGCAGATGGATATATTAATTCTGGCTTTTTTGCACATTTTCACCTCTCTGCTTCACCTGCTACTGGACTTATTTATCCATGTTTCTTGCAGGTAACACCTTTTGCATCCAGCTTCCAAATCCGAAACACAGAGGTAGAGTAGGAATTGAGAAGGAAGAGAGAACTTCTCCCTTATTGATTTTGTTCAAACACAATAGACAAGGTTAAAGTAATTAAATGGTACCAGCTAGCATAGAAGTTCCCTAAGGAGAAGGCGATGTAGCAGCACATAGAGCCTGCCATGGTCCACTTGCAGCCCAGCTTCTTGATGAGGACCGGTGGGAGGAACATTGACGATAAGATGAGTGCAGCATAGAGAACACTTAAGGATGCAACGCCCAGGCCTTCTTCTGAGTGGAGACTGCTCTGTGTGGACATAACAGCGTTTGAGACAAATATTATCACGGGCATATGTTCCTATGGTGTACAGAGAGTAGCTTCAGGCAGAAATAGAGAGATATGGAAGCTGGGACTGGGTGTTACGGTCTCCTTTTCACCAAGTAGCCTGATTATGGATTTATGGCTTTCCTCACAATGGCAGCCCATTTATGAAAAAACCAGCACAAATACCAAAAGTAGCATAATATGATACAGAACCGGGTGACAATTGCTCAGATTCAAAGCTTTGGTAAGTCAGACTTTAGATTATTTAATGTAATTCATTTGAGTTTCTTTGAAAGCCAGCTGAATGAATAACCTCTTTTTTTGGCCTTCTCTTTTCGTCTCAGGCAGGAATATCCTCAGATCTGCATTGCAAGGGCTGACTTAGCAACAGTGGAATATTCTTTGCTTTAAATCACAGGTCTGATAATTTATAAATTCTTCAGAGGCCAAGGTTCAAATATTCTAATATGCTCACAGCAGCCCTTTATAGGTGGAAGTAATTTATTCACCCACCTTTTCACATGGGAGGAATTACCTTTTACTAATCTAACTAGGTTTTCTATTTTAATGCTCAAAATAGTTCTCCTCTTGCCTTGATACTGTGAAAGTTGCAATGAGAAGATCTAGATGCTGCTTATCAACATTTTCCTGTTTGATTTCATTAAAAGCTGCTGTGATCCAATACGATTTTGGAAGAGGGAACGGATGTTGAGAGGGTAGCACTGAAGAGCGCTGGAGGAGAGTGAAGCTGCAAGCAGCTGCACCAAACACTTCCAAACCCTGTGGTGGCTGCATGGTCCAGCCATACAGGACCATGGGGGCAGCCAAGTGTCTCCCTTGGCGAGAAGCAGGCATCAGGACAGTGAGATGAGGTGAAGAGGTTCTCTGTTGAGTAGTATCAGTGTATTTGAGAATCACAACAGTTGTTTGGTAAAAAGGCAAAGAGGCTTCCTGATCACTGAGGTCCTATTCTGAAACACCACATGCCTGGTTTTGTCAGCTACAGCTTCCAAAATTTAGGAGCTAGGACTCCAAAATCATATGATTAGCTTAACTGTTACTGGTTTTTTTGAGGGTGGGTGGGTAGAATGTGGAAATAAATTATGCATATTTTTAATGCTTCTCCTGCAGGCTACAATACAATAAAATAACTTACTTTTGATTGAATCTCAGCAAGTCCTCTTTAACCACTGAGACAAAATGGTGAGAGAAGAGGGCTGTTTTGTGAATCAGCACCGTTCCTCCTGCAGTTTTAGGAAAGACTTTATGTTATACCACTTAAATTGAGCATGCACTGTTTTAGATAGTGAGGCTGACTCATGGCTTTTTGGGTTTATCACTCCACTTCTTGTTAATCTGCCCAGCTTGTAATATCTCCATCCATTTTTGGGACTGTTTTTGCAGAATGTCCCTGAGCTTGGAATTTGACAGTGTCAATGAACAGAAAATGCTTGAGGAAAGGAGAAGAGAGAGATGTACAGAGCTAACAAAGACCTTCTCCTGAAATTAGGTCAACCTCTTGTTATTGCAAACAAGTGTATCATGTTCTATCTCGAGCTCCACCTTTAAAACATACAGATTCCCACACTAGTTGGAAAATCCTTCTAGAACCCAATTTGTCCAGGTCATTCTTTAATATCCTGCCTGAACATCCTCATGGATGGCCTATGTAAATTTATTTATCATTAGACCATCAAAGGCTTCTAGTGTAAAAAGTTCCTCTTTGAGTTTATTTACTTTGAAGTATACATAGACAGTAACAGTAACCCTCAGTCTTTTAGCACAGCTATACTAAACTAGCCAGCTCTGACGGTGTCCTGTGTTCTAGTCACTCTAGAAACCATCTCTGCTACTGTGTCTTAAGATGTTAACACAAATAAAAGCCACAGCTGCCTTTGATTTGAAATAGTATTTTTTATTATTATGTTACTTCATTATTTCAGAAATCATTGCATTATTTTATACTTATATTATTTAATGGATAGGATTAGGGGTAATGGCTTTAAACCGGACAAGGGTAGATTTAGACTAGATATTAGGAAGAAATTCTTTATTGTGAGAGTGGTGAGACACTGGCACAGGTTGTCCAGGGAAGCTGTGGATGCCCTGTCCCTGGAAGTGTTCAAGGCCAGGTTGAACAGGCAGGGGGTTGGACTGAATGATGTTTAAGGTCCCTTCCAATCCAAACCATTCTATGATTCTATGATTTATTATTTTACATTGCTGTATAGTAGTAATAATAAAAGCATAGCAATTTAGAAATATTCAGAACAAACCCTTTTCAGAAATGAAGTTTGTTTTCCATTTTGTATTATATTTTTTGAGAAAAATCTCAGAGAAATTTAGTTTTCATTCGAACAGCTTTTCTAGAGCTAAAGTAGTCTGATGCAAGTATTGAAACTATTTGAGAAGTACTAGAATAAAATATCTAATAAATCTATGGATCTGAGTGATACTAACCTGCACCAAACTGAAGTTCTAACCCACCTCATAAAAATATTGTATATGCCTCCCTCACAGAAACGGGGGAAAGACTGACAGGTTTCACACAGCCAGCTCACTGATGCCCTGGAAACCAGTGGGAGATATCTCACTTACCTGTAGACTCTGAAGTCCTCCATAAGCAGTGAAGAGAAGTAAAAATCCGAAAGAAATTATTAGAACATTCTTAAGATTCCTTTCCATGTTGATTCATACAGGACAAAAGGTCAGCCGGTGTGCAGAGCTGATCCAATTATTCCAGGGGATGCTTTGAGTTGGAGAAAAACAGCTTATGTTCTGCTGGGAAAGGTCACTTCTATACTGCATTTGTAGAGGAAAGAGTTGTTAATTATTTGACAATTGGCCAGTGAACTTTACTTTTTCTGATACTGGAAACTCTGCTTACAGATTTGTTACTCATTCACCTGTTGTGACCAAGGCAGTAATGAGCATTCCCAAAGGACATCAATCAGGTTTTATTAGATAGGTATATAGGTTACTTGCAAGACTGGGACTGATTTTAGTAATGCAGCTGTACATTATATGGCTCTCTCCTATCACCAGCGCAGAAAAAAAAAAATTGCAAGCACTGAAATGACTGTCTGGCATAAAAATACACTAATTCATAAAGGGCAAAGACTAAAAGATTGTACTGAAATCTATATTAGGCCTATTGCTTAACTATGGTTACAAAAGCATACTAGGAAATGAGATCGTATTACAGTGTTGTCTGCATACACCAGCTCTATAGCTGAGCAGTGTATCAAAACAAGGTTGCTGGCTCCTTGGCAAGCAGGAAGGTCTTCATTTGTGATGAACCCTGTTCCTTTGGTGTTTCAAATTTACCAATCATACTCATGAAAGTATTTTTCCCATCTTTCTCATCAACTCAGAAGCCAAGAAGAAGCACGGATTGAGCAGACAGATGAAAAAGTAACTTCCTCATCCCTGCTTTGGCCTCTGGTGAAAAACAGCCTTTGTGGGATGTATTTTGCCTTGCCAGTGCTGCCTGGCCCAAGGAGTGAAAAGTTTCCCCATAGCCAGACAACCCTGCTGTGTTTTCCCCTGCTTTCCCCTATTTTCAGAGCGTGCCCTTCTGAAGTTGCATTGTCTCTGTTCATGACACATTGGCCATCTTGCAAGTCCTGACTGAGCTTTTGAATATTCCCCTTCTGAGAAAACAAAGTCCTCTCTGCCCTAAGCCCAGCAGGGTGAACAGACCCTTCCTGCAGCTGTAGCAGAGGAGGGATTTGAACTTGGGAGCAAAGTAGAATCCAAAAAAGGTCATGCCATAACCTTAACACATTCAAGTGGAGGTGGTCTGCAGGGTGTCTGTAGTGTCTAGTGGGAATGCACAGCCAAGACTTGGTCTAAATCCCACTAGGTGGCACAATTTTGCTTCCCACAGGGACATTCGAGGGTGAGGGGAGGAAGCTTTTATGCATTAATCCATTTAATACATTAAAGAGGTCACAGCTAGTTTCTACTTTGGAGAAAATTCCAGTATGTGCCATTTCATTTTCTTCTTTTGTTTTATAATCTTCTTGAATGAAATAATGCAGAAAACATAATCTTTTAATTCTCTATTGTTAATGGCACTTCTATATTGCGAGTATGGACAGTGAAATACTGGCTTTTTAGTACAGACTACTATGATCAGCATGCGAACACTTTTGATTAGATCACAATGCTACTCTTGTTTTGCAGAGTTTGTAATCCTCTGCAAGGCTTATAAACCAACTTGGTGGTACTTCGGCCTGGTGATTCCTGATCTTTTTAGGTTTATTGACCCTTGCAATTTTCTAGTACAGCTGATGATAACGTGCCTATTTCTGTTTTGGAATCCTTAGAAATAGTCTGCAAAATTCTAGGGGTTAGAGGCCATAGGTTGAAAACCACTTAAAAAAATTAATGGGAAGTGTAAGAATAATGCTTATCCTAACCAAAAGTCTAACTATCACCTGCTTGGGCGCAAGCAAGAACCAAGGATAGTGCAAAGCGCACTCAGTTCTAAAAGCCTTTATTTTAGTGCTCTTTCTTGGCATTAGCAGTAATAACAACACAGCTTTTTAAAAAAGTCAACATTAACTGGATCCTATTTTGAAATGCGGCTTTGGATAGGTTATCTGATCAGAAATTCTGCTCTAGAGGAATTCTTAACTCCTAGCTCAGTCACGTCCTCTTTTCAGAAAGCGTACAGGGTGTGGTGGCTTTTTTGTGGAGGTTTTTTTTTCTCTCCTTTTGACTGATCAAAGACATTTCAGCCTGTTCCACATCCCTCGCCCAGAGCTTTGGGTTATCCAACTATGTGGTCCTGAGCCCCTCCTTAGGAATGTGCAGAGTCTTTACCAAGGAGATCTGATAAGGTCAAGGATCTCTTCCTCTGGTACCAGGCAGCTGGGGCTCCGGCAGGCCTGCTGTGTATCACCCTTGACACCTCTTTCATTCTTGCTGCCAGGCTAAGATTAAGTGAGCCTCACAAGCTGTGCGCTGCATCTGGGGCTTAGCTTTTGCATAGGAGGTGGCAGCCGCCAAACTGAAATGCCTTGCAGAGCGAGATCACAAAAACGGGAGATAGAAGAGGCTGGTTAAATTAATAACTCCATCCCACAGCTCATCACTTTTATTGCCCTGTGTTTATTTTCTCTGTGTAAATGAGGGCAGCCTTTGCTTAAAAGATTATAGCACCAGAGGCTAATCTTTGGGGAATTTAGTGCTTTGTAATTATCATTTCCCTATTTACTCTTTACTGGTTAAATATATTGTTTAGGCAGTTATTTTAACAACAAAAAAAACCAACCCCAACACCCAGAATACTCACCATAGGATTTTCTGTCTTAGAAGGCTTCTAATTGATTAACTCCTTGGTGGTACACAGTATCCCTTGAGTCTACCAGCAGAAAAGATGGGTGTTTTTATATGCCAGCTGGCCAATAGTTTGGCCACCCACATAATATGGGGAAGTGTTGCAAGAGCTGTTCTCACAGCTGACCCTGACTGGTACTGGTTTCTGAGAAGCTGATACTGAGCAGGAGTTGCAGAGGACAAGTGCTTGCCCATGGATGCCTCCAAACACAGGGATGGGGAGAAGAGACAGTAGAGACAGAGTCTGTATGTTCCCACTTGAGAAATGAGGCCGATTCCTGCCCTTCTTCCATGGTGAATATGTTGCAGATGTACTAGTGGGGAACATCAGGACAGAGCCTATTCTCCTGAGCTCTAGCAGTACTGGAAAACCTTTAGTACACCGTCCTGTGCTGGAATCATAGAATCATTAAGGTTGCAAAAGACGTCTTAGATCATCAGGTCCAACCATCAACCCAACACTACCATGCCCACTAAGCCATGAAGCTCTTAAGTGTGGCAAAGCTAGCAGATTGCAGGGTCCTTCTTGGTGTGCTACAGAGAACTACCTGGCTCACACTCAGCCAGTTGAACCTGCACTGCAGCTATTTAATCCATCCTGTTAGACACATGAGCCCTGAATTGCCTTTCCACAGACTACTGTGGGATAGTCAGGATCCTCCTCTGACTAAGCTACCACCACCCCAAATGCTCACCTTCTGGGGCTGTCACACAAAAGACACTCTTTATGGGCTGCAGCAGTGTGAGTATCCTGAGGAAATAAATTACTTCTCCAGAGAGTGGGGTACCTGCAAAACCTAAGGCTGAAGCAACACTGTATGATCTAGGTATGAAAAATCTTTTGCAGTTTGCAGATGGCGTAGGAAAGCATGGTCAACTTCTAGAAGATGCCCAGGCATGTATAACATTACTGCAGCTACTCTTTATTTCCAAAGTCCTGTTCTCCCAGGAAATTAGCCTGTCCTGACATACCTGCAGTGTTCCCACCTGCCTGACCAATGCCTGAGTTCTCTGTTTTTATTAGCCCTTTCAGAAGAAAAGATGATAATTAAGATGCAGGGCTGTTTGTTCCAGGCTGCCTAGACAGCGTTTTCTTTCTTGCTGTGAAAGCCTGGCCATGCTGCTCTGCTCTTCCGCTTCTCCTTCACCTGTGTTGGTGCCCTGCTGATTTTGGAGTTGAAGCAGAAATGGTTAAATGTGACACACGTGCCTTGCAAAACCCAATCATTCCTGACACGGGCCTTAGAAAATACAGGCTGTTAAATGTTGAGAGAGGGTCACAACTCAGATGTGAGATTCATAACACTGAGCTGAAAGGATCAAGCAGTAAAAGCTGTTTTCTCTTGGGAAGGAGGTCAGAAGGGAGTTGCGAGTCAGTTAACTCATTTTGCCCACAAAGTCAGGGGAAAATAATTTTTGTTGTCCCGAAGGCCCCAGAAGTGTGAATTGCTCCTGTGTGCCTCTAGGGATCTAAGCATCTCCCCTCCTCCAGCATTTCAGTTCTCATTTCCAAATTTCCTGTATTACTCCTCTCTCCTTTTAAATACTGCTCCTTTTTCACCATGCAATGCATCCACAGACATTGTCATTTCATCTATTCTCCCAAACACCCTCTACATGCATGGCTGCATAGACATCAGTATGCCAGTTCTGTCCGAATCCTACCTGCTGATGTCCTCTGTCTTCCTCTGGAGGCACCAAACTGTCTATCTCAATCTTCCTTTGTGTCCTTGATGCATGCTCTCCTTCCTTACTGCTTTGCTGTTGCCTAGACGTCACCCTGCCTTCGTATTTCTGCTTCTTCTTCCCCTCTGCTTCTCCCTCCTTACCTCATCTCCTGAGTGCCAACAGACTTTTTGCTTCCTTAGGGAGTCACCTGAAAACTGGTGGTTGTGTTCCCGTCTCACAGGTGGTTACACTACTTTTGGCCTTACTGGCTGAAAGGTCCCTCTCCCTCCTCCCTCAGCACTGCTCGTTTTATCTCACAGGGCCCTTTTCCAGCCTCACTACCTATTGCTCAAGGAAGAGGAGAGATGCTTTGTCTTCTGGACTGGGAGCCAGCTATTGATGGAAGGGGAACCAAACAGAACAATAGCAGAGAGGGTGCAGGCCATAGGCTTGAATGCAGCTGCGATTTTTCTGTCAGTAGGACCATGCAGGAGACAGTCCCCTCAGGCCACTTGTCTAGTCTGCTGAATCCAGCTGTCCAAATAACCAATATTGTCACTATTGTAAAGGCAGGATTCAGTTTAGGATAGGATGATGTGACGCCAGTCCAGGCTCACTCATAAATTTTTATGAGCTGGAGAAACAGTTTCTTTAAGTGTTGGACTTCTTAT